GTTGTTGATGTAGTTGTTGTTGTGGTTGTAGTTGTGGTTGTAGTTGTTGTAGTTGTAGTTGTTGTTGTGGTTGTTGTTGTTGTTGTTGTTCCTCACCAGGCCACGCCACCGATGAGCGTCGTCATGACGACCACGATGAGGAGGAGAGAGGCAACGAGGAGAACCCAAGCTGAGGAACAACAACATCAACATCAACACCAACAACAACAACAACATCAACACCAACAACAACAACAGCGACAACAACAATAACAACAACAACGACAACAACAACAACGACAACAACAACAACGACAACATCAACAACAACAACAACCACAACAACAACCACAACAACAACAACAACGACAACAACCACAACAACAACGTCAACAACCACAACAACAACAACAACCACAACAACAACATCAACAACAACAACGACAACAACCACAACAACAACGTCAACAACCACAACAACAACAACGTCAACAACAACAACAACCAAGTAACAACAACCACAACAACAACCACGTCAACAACAATAAACACCACGTCGACAACCACCACATTAACAACCACCACGTGAACAACCACCACGTGAACAACCACCACGTGAACAACCACCACATTAACAACCACCACGTGAACAACCACCACGTGAACAACCACCACGTGAACAACCACCACGTGAACAACACCACAACCTTAACCACAACCACCACAACTTTAACCACAATATTAACCACCACTACAACCTCCTCAACATTAACCACCACAACATTAACCAACATAACCACCGCAACTTTAACCACCACAATATTAACCACCAGGACCACCACAACCACAATATTAACCACCACAACCACCACAACATTAACCACGAAATCTACTACAACATTAATCACCATGACCACCACAAATTTAGCTACCACAACCACCACGACTACCACAACCACCACCAGAACTAACATAACTTTAACCACCACCACAACCATCACAAACACCACAACTTTAACCACCACCACAACATTAACCACCACCACAACCACCACAACAAACCATCACACGATTAACCACCACAACCACCACAACTTCAACCACCAAAACCACCACAACATTAACCACCACTACAACAACCACCACAATCACCACAACATTAACCACCTCTACAACAACCACCACCACAACACCACACCATTAACGACCACAACCACCACAACTTTAACCACCACAACCACCACCGCAATTACCACCACCACAACTTTAACCACCACCACAACCACCACAACTTCAACCACCAAAACCACCACAACATTAACCACCACTACAACAACCACCACCACAACCACCAAAACATTAACCACCACTACAACAAACACCACAATCACCACAACATTAACCACCTCTACAACAACCACCACCACAACACCACACCATTAACCACCACAACCACCACAACTTTAACCACCACAACCACCACCGCAATTACCACCACCACAACTTTAACCACCACCACCACAACCACCACAACTTTAACCACCACCACCACAACTTTAACCACCACCACAACCACCACAACTTTAACCACCACCACAACCACCACAACTTTAACCACCACCACCACAACTTTAACCACCACCACAACCACCACAACTTTAACCACCACCACAACCACCACAACTTTAACCACCACCACCACAACTTTAACAACCGTCACAACCACTACAACTTTAACCATCACAACCACCACAACTTTAACCACAACCACCACCACCACAACTTTAATCACCACCACAACCATCACAACTTTAACCACCACACCCACAACAACCATCACAACCACCACCATAACTTTAACCACCACCCCAACTTTCACCCCAACAACCACCACCACTACCACAACTTTAACCAGCACAACCACCACCACAACTTTAACCACCACTACCACCACCACAACTTTAACCAACACCACAACCACCACGACTTTAACCACCACAACTTTAACCACCACAACCACCACAACTTTAACCACAACCACCACAACAACTTTAACCACAACCACCACCACAACTATAAACACCACAAACACCACCACAACTTTAACCACCACAACCACCACAACTTTAACCACCACAACCACCACAACTTTAACCACCACAGCCACCACAACTTTAACCACCACAACCACCACAACTTTAACCACAACCACCACCACAACTGTAACCACCACAACTTTAACCACCACAACCACCACAACTTTAACCACAACAACCACCACCTCAACTGTAACCACCACCACAACTTTAACCACAACCACCACCACCACAACTGTAACCACCACAACCTTGACCACAACAACCACCACAACCACCACCACCACACCTGTAACCACAACCACCACCACCACAACTTTAACCACCACAACCACCACAACTTTAACCACAACCACCACAACTGTAACCACCACCACAACTTTAACCACAACCACCACCACAACTGTAACCACCACCACATCTTTAACCACAACCACCACCACAACTGTAACCACCACAACCACCACAACTTTAACCACAACAACCACCACAACCACCAGCACCACAACTGTAACCACAACCACCACCACAACCACCACAACTTTAACCACCACAACTGCTACAACTTTAACCACAACCACCACCACAACTGTAACCACCACCACAACTTTAACCACAACCACCACCACAACTTTAACCACATCCACCACCACAACTGTAACCACCACCACAATTTTAACCACCACCACCACAACTGTAACCACCACAACCACCACAACTTTAACCACCACCACAACCACAACCACCATCACCACAACTGTAACCACCACAACCACCACAACTTTAACCACAACCACCAACACAACTGTAACCACCACCACAACTGTAACCACCACAACCACCACAACTTTCACCACAACCACCACCACAACCACCACAACTGCAACCACCACAACCACCACAACTGCAACCACCACCACAACTGTAACCACCACAACTGTAACCACCACAACCACCACAACTTTAACCACAACCACCACAACTGTAACCACCACCACCACTGTAACCACCACCACAACTGTAACCACAACCACCACCACAACCACCACCACAACTGTAACCACCACAACCACCACCACAACCACCACAACCACCACCACAACTTTAACCACAACTGTAACCACCACCACAACTGTAACCACAACTGTAACCACAACCACCACCACAACTTTAACCACAACCACCACCACAACTTTAACCACAACTGTAACCACCACCACCACAACTGTAACCACAACTGTAACCACAACCACCACCACAACTTTAACCACAACCACCACCACAACTTTAACCACAACTGTAACCACCACCACCACAACTTTAACCACAACTGTAACCACAACTGTAACCACAACTTTAACCACCACCACCACCACAACTGTAACCACAACTGTAACCACAACTGTAACCACAAACTTTAACCACAACTGTAACCACAACTTTAACCACCACAACCACCACCACCTCCACAACTGTAACCACAACTGTAACCACCACCACCACAACTGTAACCACAACTGTAACCACAACTGTAACCACAACTTTAACCACACCTGTAACCACAACCACCACCACCACAACTTTAACCACCACAACCACCACAACTTTAACCACAACCACCACAACTGTAACCACCACCACAACTTTAACCACAACCACCACCACAACTGTAACCACCACCACATCTTTAACCACAACCACCACCACAACTGTAACCACCACAACCACCACAACTTTAACCACAACAACCACCACAACCACCAGCACCACAACTGTAACCACAACCACCACCACAACCACCACAACTTTAACCACCACAACTGCTACAACTTTAACCACAACCACCACCACAACTGTAACCACCACCACAACTTTAACCACAACCACCACCACAACTTTAACCACATCCACCACCACAACTGTAACCACCACCACAATTTTAACCACCACCACCACAACTGTAACCACCACAACCACCACAACTTTAACCACCACCACAACCACAACCACCATCACCACAACTGTAACCACCACAACCACCACAACTTTAACCACAACCACCACCACAACTGTAACCACCACCACAACTGTAACCACCACAACCACCACAACTTTCACCACAACCACCACCACAACCACCACAACTGCAACCACCACAACCACCACAACTGCAACCACCACCACAACTGTAACCACCACAACTGTAACCACCACAACCACCACAACTTTAACCACAACCACCACAACTTTAACCACCACCACAACTGTAACCACCACCACAACTGTAACCACAACCACCACCACAACCACCACAACCACCACCACAACTGTAACCACCACAACCACCACCACAACTGTAACCACAACCACCACCACAACTTTAACCACAACTGTAACCACCACCACAACTGTAACCACAACTGTAACCACAACCACCACCACAACTTTAACCACAACCACCACCACAACTTTAACCACAACTGTAACCACCACCACCACAACTGTAACCACAACTGTAACCACAACCACCACCACAACTTTAACCACAACCACCACCACAACTTTAACCACAACTGTAACCACCACCACCACAACTTTAACCACAACTGTAACCACAACTGTAACCACAACTTTAACCACCACCACCACCACAACTGTAACCACAACTGTAACCACAACTGTAACCACAAACTTTAACCACAACTGTAACCACAACTTTAACCACCACAACCACCACCACCTCCACAACTGTAACCACAACTGTAACCACCACCACCACAACTGTAACCACAACTGTAACCACAACTGTAACCACAACTTTAACCACAACTGTAACCACAACTTTAACCACCACAACCACCACCACCTCCACAACTGTAACCACAACTGTAACCACCACCACCACAACTGTAACCACCACCACAACTGTAACCACAACTGTAACCACAACTGTAACCACAACTTTGACCACAACTGTAACCACAACTTTAACCACCACAACCACCACCACCTCCACAACTGTAACCACAACTGTAACCACCACCACCACAACTGTAACCACCACCACAACTGTAACCACAACTGTAACCACAACTGTAACCACAACTTTAACCACAACTGTAACCACAACTTTAACCACCACAGCCACCACCACCTCCACAACTGTAACCACAACTGTAACCACCACCACCACCACAACTGTAACCACCACCACAACTGTAACCACAACTTTAACCACAACTGTAACCACCACCACCACAACTTTAACCACAACTTTAACCACAACTGTAGCCACCACCACCACCACCACAACTTTAACCACAACTGTAACCACAACTTTAACCACAACTGTAACCACAACTGTAACCACAACTTTAACCACAACTGTAACCACAACTTTAACCACAACTGTAACCACAACTTTAACCACAACTGTAACCACCACCACCACAACTTTAACCACAACTGTAACCACAACAACCACCACCACCACAACCACCACAACTGTAACCACAACTTTAACCACAACTGTAACCACCACAACCACCACCACCACAACTGTAACCACCACCACCACAACCACAACTTTAACCACAACTGTAACCACCACCACCACAACTTTAACCACAACTTTAACCACAACTGTAGCCACCACCACCACCACAACTTTAACCACAACTGTAACCACAACTTTAACCACAACTGTAACCACAACTGTAACCACAACTTTAACCACAACTGTAACCACAACTTTAACCACAACTGTAACCACAACTTTAACCACAACTGTAACCACCACCACCACAACTTTAACCACAAACTGTAACCACAACAACCAACCACCACCACAACCACCACAACTCAACCACAACTTAACCACAACTTAACCACCACCACAACTCAACCACAACTTAACCACCACCACAACTCAACCACAACTTAACCACAACTTAACCACCACCACTACAACTTAACCACAACTTAACCACAACTGTAGCCACCACCACCACCACAACTTTAACCCACAACTGTAACCACAACTTTAACCACAACTGTAACCACAACTGTAACCACAACTTTAACCCACAACTGTAACCACAAACTTTACCACAACTGTAACCACAACTTTAACCACAACCACCACCACCACCACAACTTTAACCACAACTTTAACCACAACAACCACCACCACCACAACCACCACAACTGTAACCACAACAACCACCACAACTGTAACCACCACCACCACAACTGTAACCACCACCACAAACTGTAACCACAACTTTAACCACAACTGTAACCACCACCACCACAACTTTAACCACAACTTTAACCACAACTGTAGCCACCACCACCACAACTTTAACCACAACTGTAACCACAACTTTAACCACAACTGTAACCACAACTTTAACCACAACTGTAACCACCACCACCACCACAACTGTAACCACCACCACAACTGTAACCACAACTTTAACCACAACTGTAACCACCACCACCAACAACTTTAACCACAACTTTAACCACAACCTGTAGCCACCACCACCACAACTTTAACCACAACTGTAACCACAACTTTAACCACAACTGTAACCACAACTGTAACCACAACTTTAACCACAACTGTAACCACAACTTTAACCACAACTGTAACCACAACTTTAACCACAACTGTAACCACCACCACCACAACTTTAACCACAACTGTAACCACAACAACCACCACCACCACAACCACCACAACTGTAACCACAACTTTAACCACAACTGTAACCACCACCACCACCACAACTGTAACCACCACCACAACTGTAACCACAACTTTAACCACAACTGTAACCAACACCACCACAACTTTAAACCACAACTTTACCACAAACTGTAGCCACCACCACCACCACAACTTTAACCACAACTGTAACCACAATTTTAACCACAACTGTAACACAACTGTACCACAACTTTAACCACACTGTAACCACAACTTTAAACCACAAACTGTAACCACAACTTTAACCAACTGTAACCACCACCACCACAACTTTAACCACACTGTAACCACAACAACCACCACCACCACAGACCACCACAACTGTAACGCACAACTTTAACCACAACTGTAACCACCCCACCACACCACAACTGTACCACCACCACAACTGTAACCACAACTTTAACCACAACTGTAACCACAACTTTAACCACAACTGTAACCACAACTTTAACCACAACTGTAACCACCACCACAAACTTTAACCACAACTGTAACCACAACAACCACCACCACCACAACCACCACAACTGTAACCACAACTTTAACCACAACTGTAACCACCACCACCACCACAACTGTAACCACCACCACAACTGTAACCACAACTTTACCACAACTGTAACCACCACCACCAAAACTTTAACCACACAACTTTAACCACACTGTAGCCCACAACCACCACCACCACTTTAACCAAAACTGTAACCACCACCACCACAACATTTAACCAACTAGACTGTAACCACAACTGTAACCACAACTTTAACAACCACACTGTTAACCACAACTTAACCACAACTGGTAACCACCACCACCACAAACTGTAAACCACCACCACAACTGTAACCCACAACTTTAAACCACAACTGTAACCACCACCACCACAACTTTAAACCACCAACTTAGACCACAACTGTAGCCAACCACAACCAACAACTTTAACGCACAGACTGTAACCATCAACTTTAACCACACTGTAACCACACACAACTTTAACCAACAACTGTGAACCACCACCACCACAGACTGTAACCACCACCACAACTGTAACCACAACTTTAACCACAACTGGAGCCACCACCACCACAACTTTAACCACAACTGTAACCACAACTTTAACCACAACTGTAACCACAACCTGTAACCACAACTTTAACCACAACTGTAACCACAACTTTAACCACAACTGTAACCACAACTTTAACCACAACTGTAACCACCACCACCACAACTTTAACCACAACTGTAACCACAACTGTAACCACAACTTTAACCACAACTGTAACCACAACTTTAACCACAACTGTAACCACCACCACCACAACTGTAACCACCACCACAACTGTAACCACAACTTTAACCACAACTGTAACCACCACCACCACAACTTTAACCACAACTTTAACCACAACTGTAGCCACCACCACCACAACTTTAACCACAACTGTAACCACAACTTTAACCACAACTGTAACCACAACTGTAACCACAACTTTAACCACAACTGTAACCACAACTTTAACCACAACTGTAACCACAACTTAACCACAACTGTAACCACCACCACCACAACTTTAACCACAACTGTAACCACAACAACCACCACCACCACAACCACCACAACTGTAACCACAACTTTAACCACAACTGTAACCACCACCACCACAACTGTAACCACCACCACAACTGTAACCACAACTTTAACCACAACTGTAACCACAACTTTAACCACAACTGTAACCACAACTTTAACCACAACTGTAACCACCACCACAACTTTAACCACAACTGTAACCACAACAACCACCACCACCACAACCACCACAACTGTAACCACAACTTTAACCACAACTGTAACCACCACCACCACAACTGTAACCACCACCACAACTGTAACCACAACTTTAACCACAACTGTAACCACCACCACCACAACTTTAACCACAACTTTAACCACAACTGTAGCCACCACCACCACCACAACTTTAACCACAACTGTAACCACAACTTTAACCACAACTGTAACCACAACTGTAACCACAACTTTAACCACAACTGTAACCACAACTTTAACCACAACTGTAACCACAACTTTAACCACAACTGTAACCACCACCACCACAACTTTAACCACAACTGTAACCACAACAACCACCACCACCACAACCACCACAACTGTAACCACAACTTTAACCACAACTGTAACCACCACCACAACTGTAACCACAACTTTAACCACAACTGTAACCACCACCACCACAACTTTAACCACAACTTTAACCACAACTGTAGCCACCACCACCACCACAACTTTAACCACAACTGTAACCACAACTTTAACCACAACTGTAACCACAACTGTAACCACAACTTTAACCACAACTGTAACCACAACTTTAACCACAACTGTAACCACAACTTTAACCACAACTGTAACCACCACCACCACAACTTTAACCACAACTGTAACCACAACAACCACCACCACCACAACCACCACAACTGTAACCACAACTTTAACCACAACTGTAACCACCACCACAACTTTAACCACAACTTTAACCACAACTGTAACCACCACCACAACTTTAACCACAACTTTAACCACAACTGTAACCACCACCACCACCACAACTTTAACCACAACTGTAACCACCACCACAACTTTAACCACAACTTTAACCACAACTGTAACCACAACTTTAACCACAACTGTAACCACAACTTTAACCACAACTGTAACCACAACTTTAACCACAACTGTAACCACCACCACCACAACTTTAACCACAACTGTAACCACAACAACCACCACCACCACAACCACCACAACTGTAACCACAACTTTAAACCACAACTGTAACCACCACCACAACTTTAACCACAACTGTAAACCACCACCACCACAACTTTAACCACAACTTTAACCACAACTGTAGCCCACCACCACCACAACTTTAACCACAACTGTAACCACAACTTTAACCACAACTGTAACCACAACTGTAACCACAACTTTAACCACAACTGTAACCACAACTATAACCACAACTGTAACCACAACTTTAACCACAACTGTAACCACCACCACCACAACTTTAACCACAACTTTAACCACAACAACCACCACCACCACAACCACCACAACTGTAACCACAACTTTAACCACAACTGTAACCACCACCACAACTGTAACCACAACTTTAACCACAACTGTAACCACCACCACCACAACTTTAACCACAACTTTAACCACAACTGTAGCCACCACCACCACCACAACTTTAACCACAACTGTAACCACAACTTTAACCACAACTGTAACCACAACTGTAACCACAACTTTAACCACAACTGTAACCACAACTTTAACCACAACTGTAACCACAACTTTAACCACAACTGTAACCACCACCACCACAACTTTAACCACAACTGTAACCACAACAACCACCACCACCACAACCACCACAACTGTAACCACAACTTTAACCACAACTGTAACCACCACCACAACTGTAACCACAACTTTAACCACAACTGTAACCACCACCACAACTTTAACCACAACTTTAACCACAACTGTAGCCACCACCACCACCACAACTTTAACCACAACTGTAACCACAACTTTAACCACAACTGTAACCACAACTGTAACCACAACTTTAACCACAACTGTAACCACAACTTTAACCACAACTGTAACCACAACTTTAACCACAACTGTAACCACCACCACCACAACTTTAACCACAACTGTAACCACAACAACCACCACCACCACAACCACCACAACTGTAACCACAACTTTAACCACAACTGTAACCACCACCACAACTTTAACCACAACTGTAACCACCACCACCACAACTTTAACCACAACTTTAACCACAACTGTAGCCACCACCACCACAACTTTAACCACAACTGTAACCACAACTTTAACCACAACTGTAACCACAACTGTAACCACAACTTTAACCACAACTGTAACCACAACTTTAACCACAACTGTAACCACAACTTTAACCACAACTGTAACCACCACCACCACAACTTTAACCACAACTGTAACCACAACAACCACCACCACCACAACCACCACAACTGTAACCACAACTTTAACCACAACTGTAACCACCACCACAACTGTAACCACAACTTTAACCACAACTGTAACCACCACCACCACAACTTTAACCACAACTTTAACCACAACTGTAGCCACCACCACCACCACAACTTTAACCACAACTGTAACCACAACTTTAACCACAACTGTAACCACAACTGTAACCACAACTTTAACCACAACTGTAACCACAACTTTAACCACAACTGTAACCACAACTTTAACCACAACTGTAACCACCACCACCACAACTTTAACCACAACTGTAACCACAACAACCACCACCACCACAACCACCACAACTGTAACCACAACTTTAACCACAACTGTAACCACCACCACAACTGTAACCACAACTTTAACCACAACTGTAACCACCACCACAACTTTAACCACAACTTTAACCACAACTGTAACCACCACAACCACCACCACCACAACTGTAACCACCACCACCACAACCACCACAACTGTAACCACAACCTTAACCACAACTGTAACCACCACCACAACTGTAACCACAACTTTAACCACAACTGTAACCACCACCACAACTTTAACCACAACTGTAACCACAACTTTAACCACAACTGTAACCACAACTTTAACCACAACTGTAACCACCACCACAACTTTAACCACAACTGTAACCACAACTTTAACCACCACAACCACCACCACCACCACAACTGTAACCACAACTGTAACCACAACTTTAACCACAACTTTAACCACAACTGTAACCACAACAACCACCACCACCACCACCACCACAACTGTAACCACAACTGTAACCACAACTTTAACCACAACTTTAACCACAACTGTAACCACAACAACCACCACCACCACAACCACCACAACTGTAACCACAACTTTAACCACAACTGTAACCACAACTTTAACCACAACTTTAACCACAACTTTAACCACAACTGTAACCACCACAACTGTAACCACAACTTTAACCACAACAACCACCACCACAACTTTAACCACAACTGTAGCCACGCCTCCCTCCTCACCTGCCCCCTGACCCCGCGTCTCCGCGTGAGCCGTGGGTTTGTCACCTCCCAGCGGGGTCCCCGCCGTTGCCGCGGAGACGGAGGCCCCGCCCTCCGTTGCCGCGGAGACGGAGGCCCCGCCCGCCGTTGCCACGGAGACGGAGGCCCCGCCCGCCGTTGCCACGGAGACGGAGGCCCCGCCCGCCGTTGCCGCGGAGACGGAGGCCCCGCCCGCCTTGGTTACCGCCGCGGTGACGGGCGGCCACTCGGTCACCACGGTAACGGGCATCCCCTCGGTTGCCACGGTAACGGGCATCCCCTCGGTTTCCACGGTAACCGAGGAGGTGGCGGTGGCGACATGGTCGCTATGAGAAGGGCCCTGGTTGCCAGGGGAGGAGCCGCCGCTGCCGCCGCCGCCGTTGCCGTGGCTACCATCGCCGCCCTGGTTGCTATGGAAACCGTGGTTGCTACGGGTGGTAACCACGGTGCCGTACCCACGCGCGTCGGCTGCGCTGACGCCGGCTGCGGCGGAGGGGTTGCTATGGGTACGCTGGTTGCCGTGGAAACCTGCGGCGGTGCCCCGGTTGCCGTGGTGACCGCCTGTGACGCCGTTGCCGTGGGTCCGTCCTGTGCGCTGGTGTGAGGTTGTGGCGGTTGTGGTTGGTTGTGCCGTTGATGGCTGTCCGGTGGTGGTGGTGGTGGTTGGTGTGGTGGTGGTGGTGGTTGGTGTGGTGGTGGTGGTTGGTGTGGTGGTGGTGGTGGTTGGTGTGGTGGTGGTGGTTGGTGTGGTGGTGGTGGTGGTTGGTGTGGTGGTGGTTGGTGTGGTGGTGGTGGTTGGTGTGGTGGTGGTTGGTGCGGTGGTGGTGGTGGTGACGGGTGGTGGTGTGGTGGTTGCGATGGTAATTGATGTGGTGGTGCGTGGTATGGTTGTGGTGGTGGTTGTGGTGGTGGTTGTGGTGAGGCTGCGGGTGTGAACCCCACTACCCTCTGCACACACAGACAAAGACAAAGATCCCCCGTGTAGCCTCTAACAGGGCTGCAGGGGCAAGTGCTGTTAGCGAGCACAACCTATGAAGGCGACCAGCACTGTGGCACACACAGAGTGGGGTGTGACACACACACAGATGGGGGTGTGACACACACACATCAACAACAACAACCGCCATTCGCCACTAAGTGGCGGTGACATCACCACGACGCTTGTGCCAGGCTATGTGCACCCTGAGGCCACGTGAAGTGTCGAACGCCCGCTGGCAGGAGGTCACGGGGCAGACCCAGCAGGTGCCACGGGTCGACTGACTGAGATGACTGACTGATGCACCACCTGTGCCCCCTACTGTGCCAATCTGCTGTGCTTTAGCCACCCGGCGCTCCGCTCGTTGTTGTGAGCGTCGCTCCTCCGCTCTCCGTTGTTGTTGGAGGGCGACTGCCTCCAACTGCCCAGTAGCAGCGTCCTTCACGAGCCTCCTCCACAGACTCCGATCTTGACACCGCTGGTACCAGTCATCGGCAAGTCCACTCAGCTCCACGTCCTCCTATACCACATCACTCCATCTCTTCTCTAGCCCGTGCCGCGCCCGCTTAGCCCCCTCAATCCGGCCGAACAAAAGCTGTTTAGACATGCGGTGGTTGGGCATGCGGGCTACATGACCCAGCCATCGCAGCCTTGCCCGCCGGAGGAGCTCACCGATGGGACCTTGCCCAGATCTTTCAAGGATTTGTGAGCTCCTCACACAATCCAGTCTGGTTAAACCCAGGATGGATCGTAGGAAGGCCAGCCTAAATGTTTCTAACCTGCGAAGATGTTCCATTAAGGGGGTCCACGTTTTGCAAGCGTAGAGAAGGGAGGGAATGACCGTGGCCGAGAAGACCTGAAGTTTAGTGCGGAGCGACAGACCAGGTAGCTTCCTCACAGCATTACGCAACCGATGAAAAGATATTGCCGCTCGACTGATTCGGAGTGAGACCTCTGCTGTTAAACTGGAGCCGGTCATAAGCACACTGCCCAGGTATGGGAAACTCTCCACTCTCTCCACAACTGCCCCATCACCGATTGGGAGTTGTGGGGGTGGAGTGTCCGATGGTACAAAATACCCAGGCAGGTGCTTAGTTTTGGTGGGGCTGATGGTAAGGCCCCACCTCTTAGTGGCACGCTCCAGTCTCAGCAGCAGCGTCTCCAACTCCTCCTCTGACTGAGCAGCTATTACCAAATCATCAGCATACATAACGTGGTTGAGCAATAGTGAGCCATCCCTTGACCGCACCCGGGCATCGATCAGCCTCCCATTATATCTGTACCATATGGAGATTCCCCCGGTACAGCTATTGAAGGCTTCACGAACTACGTGGTCAAAATAGGTGTTAAATAATGTGGGAGCCAGAGGACATCCCTGTCGCACCCCAAGGTGTACAGGGAATGGCTCTGACTCCCGGCCACGTAGTTTTACCCGGGCCCGCTCACCATCATGAAGGTCCTTAATGATCGTGAGCAGAGGGTGACGTACTCCAAAAGCACGAAGAACAACCCAGAGCCCAGGCCTACTGATGGTATCATAGGCCTTGACCAGGTCAATAAAGCAGAGATGTAGGTCTTGTTGGAATTCCCTACACCTCTGCTGTAGCAGACGGACAGAAAATATGGCATCTGTGCAGGACCGCCCTTTCCTGAACCGCATTGGGGCTCCGCAAGCCTCTCCTCAGCGTGCCTGGCAAGGCGATGTTGAATAGTCCTTGCCAGGACCTTTCCCGGCACACTGAAGAGTGAGATGCCCCTGTAGTTGTTACAGTCTGTGCGGTCCCCCTTCTTAAAAAGGGGGACCACCAGGGCATTCTTCCAATCCTGCGGAACCCGTCCAGTGGTCCACACTGTTGCTATGATGTCATATAGGGCAGTCTGTGCACAAACGCCGCCCTCCCTCAGCATTTCGCTTGGGAGATCATCTCTGCCCGCTGACTTTCCTGGTCTCAGACTCCAGATCGCCTTCAGTACTTCCTCAACAGATGGCACCTCAGCCAGCCACTCACAGGGGGTGACTTCTTCCAATATTTGAGGCACCGCAGCCTCAGCAGGGTCATCCTCACTTTGTGCCACGATGTTTTCCTGGCTGAGGGATTTTCCCTCCCCCAGGACCTCACAGAAATGCTCAGCAAATCTGCAAACCTGTTCCTGGGGGTCGGAGATTGGATCACCGTTGTTTCCCCTAATGATGGTAATAGGTGTGGCGCTGCAGATTACTTTTTTGATGGAGTTAAATAGAGATTTGTGATCACGGGCCACTGAGGCAGACTCCATCTCCTCAGCAACCCGCGACCACCACCCATCCTTGCAGCGCCTCAAGGCTCTCCGAACCTCCGAGCGAAGGCTGCGGTAAGCGTCCTCATTCTCTGACGTGGGATTCTGTAGCCGATGACAGTGGGCCTGTCACTTTTTCTCAACCATCCTGAACACCTCCTCTGTCAGCCAGGGTCTCTGGGGAGGTCTGGACCGCGTACCCAAAGCAGCCATTGCAGCTGCATGAGTCACAGTCCTAAACCTCGCCCATTTACCCTCGACATCAGGAGGAGTCGGGGACGATGCCAATCCCAGCTGCAAGCGATGATGAAATTCTCGCTTGCAACTTTCATCAGATAACTGAGACCAGGCCACTTTAGGTTTGAATGGGGTCCTGGGTGTACACCCACCACCGGAGTGAAAGAATGGCAGGCGCATCTTACAGATGACTAGTCGATGGTCAGTGGGCAGATCAGCTCCACGGTAGGTCCTGGTGTCAAGGACATGGTCTCGCATCCGCTGGTCCGTCACTATGTAGTCCAGCAGATGTTCTTGCTTGGACCCGGCATGCATCCATGATGTTGTGTGGATGCGCCAATGCCGGAACAGCGTGTTGGTAATTACAAGCCCATGGGCTGCACAAAAATCTAGCAGCCTCCTACCGTTGTTATTGAGCTGATCTGGCCCATGCCCTCCAATCACTCCAGACCAGGTGCCAGCATCATGACCAACTCGGGCATTGAAGTCACCCAACATGATGACTCTATCCCGAGGGGCCACTTTAGCCAGCACCTGTGACAGGAGGTCATAGAAGGCATCTGACTCATCGGCTTTGCCTGCATCCCTCCACGGATGTTCGTCTTCGGTGGGGGCATAAGTAACCACGACCACCACTCCTTGATGGGAAGGCGAGCCCAAAGTAGCCTGGGGTTTACAGCTTCCCACACCTCACCGCCACGCTCCCACGCCCCCTTCATTCTTTTGTTCACACACAGAGGGGGGTGTGACACACAGAGTGGGGTGTGACACACACACAGAGTGGGGTGTGACACACACAGTGGGGTGTGACACACACACAGTGGGGTGTGACACACACACAGAGAGTGGTGTGACACACACACAGTGGGGTGTGACACACACACACAGTGGGGTGTGACACACACACACACAGTGGGGTGTGACACACACACAGAGAGTGGGGTGTGACACACACACAGAGAGTGGGGTGTGACACACACACACAGAGTGGGGTGTGACACACACACAGAGAGTGGGGTGTGACACACACACAGAGTGGGTGTGACACACACACAGTGGGGTGTGACACACACACAGAGAGTGGGGTGTGACACACAGAGAGTGGGGTGTGACACACACACACACAGAGAGTGGGGTGTGACACACACACACAGAGAGTGGGGTGTGACACACACAGAGAGTGGGGTGTGACACACACACACACACAGTGGGGTGTGACACACACACACAGTGGGGTGTGACACACACACACACACAGTGGGGTGTGACACACACACACACAGTGGGGTGTGACACACACACACAGAGAGTGGGGTGTGACACACACAGAGAGTGGGGTGTGACACACACACAGAGTGGGTGTGACACACACAGAGAGTGGGGTGACACACACACACACACAGAGAGTGGGGTGTGACACACACACACACAGAGAGTGGGGTGTGACACACACACACACACACAGAGAGTGGGGTGTGACACACACACACAGAGTGGGTGTGACATACACAGAGAGTGGGGTGACACACACACACAGTGGGGTGTGACACACACACACACAGTGGGGTGTGACACACACAGAGAGTGGGGTGTGACACACACACACACACAGTGGGGTGTGACACACACAGAGAGTGGGGTGTGACACACACACACACACAGTGGGGTGTGACACACACACACACAGAGAGAGTGGGGTGTGACACACACACACAGACGTGGTGTGTGTGACTCTACCGCTACCGCCTTGCTTTTGGTCAAGGGCAAGGTCACGTAGGTCAAGGTCACGTAGGTCAAGGGTCACGTAGGTCAAGGGTCACGATTCGCCACGCAGGCAATCGT